AAAAAAAAAAAAAAAAGAATATATATTGTGCATGTTTAATGGAAGGACATGATAAACAAAAGATTTCATAGCAACCTCAGTTGAATTCTACCATACTCTCTTGGCTCTAATTTTATGTTTGCTTGTTTGGTTTTTGAGACAGAGTCTCAAGCTGTCACCCCAGGTAGAGTGCTGTACCGTCACTGCTCACAGCAACCTCAAACTCTTAGGCTCAAGCCATCCTCTTGCCTCAGCCTCCCAAGTAGCTGGGACTACAGGCACCCGCCACAACACCTGGCTACCTAATTTTATGTTTTAAGCAAAATAAAATTTAAACAAACCATGCAGGGCTTTATGTCTGGAACCTTTGATTTATACCAGAGGTATTTGTGACCAGTAGTGAAGTTTCTCATAAGACAAATGGGCATGACTTTACTTTTTCTTTTTTTAAGTTTTCACTGTTGCCCAGACTCTGGGAGTATAGTAGGACAATCATAGCTCACTGCAGCCTCAAACTTCTGGGATCAAACAAACTTCTAGCACAAGCCTCCCAGGAAGCTAGAACTCCAGGTGTGTGCTACTAGTTTATCTCCTTCTCATTGTTTACACAGTACTGTATCTATAGTTAGTAACACCATAGTAATATACATACCTATACACACACACACACTCACTAATATCCTCTGCATACCCCTCTCTGAACTGTTAAAATCTCTATAATCCAACAGGGATCTGAGATCCATAATTTCTAAATCTGAATGTGTATTTTTTGCTCTGTTGCAAAGAAAAGGAATAACCAGAGAGGCTGAAACTTGTTTAGAATGTCTTTGAAATCCTTTTAGGTGAAAGACTTCATAAAAATAGAGCAGTTTTTTTTTTTTTGAGACAGAGCCTCAAGCTGTCACCCTGGGTAGAGTACAGTGGCATCACAGCTCACAGCAACTTCCAACTCCTGGCCTCAATGATTCTCTTGCCTCCACCTCCCAAGTAGCTGGGACTACAGGCGCCTGCCACAACACCCAGCATTTTTTGGTTGCAGCCATCATTGTTGTTTGGCAGGCCTGGGCTGAATTCAAATCTGCCAGCTCAGGTGTATATGGCTGGCACTTTAGCCGCATGAGCCATAGGTGCTGAGCCAAGAGAGAGAGCAGTTATACTGAGAGCTTGAAAAAAAACATAACAACAAAGCCTTGAATTTATCTTGTTGCTTCTTTTCAAAGATCTTAAAAGAATACACTCATACAAGACAGGGAGGCCAGGCGCAGTGGCCCACGCCTGTCCCAGCACTTGGGAGGCTGAGGCAGGTGGATTGCTTGAACTCAGGAGTTTAAGACCAGCCTGAGTAAGAGTAAGACCTCGTCTCTAAAAAACAGCAGCGTGCTGTGGCAGGTGCCTGTAGACCCAGCTACTTGGGAGGCTGAGGCAAGAGAATTGCTTGAGCCCAAGAGTTTGAGGTTGCTGTGAGCTATGATGCCATGGTACTCTACTGAGGGTGACAAAGTGAAACTCTATCTCAAAAAACAAAAACAAAAACAAAAACCAGTATAGGATTATTACTCTCATTTGAGAGATGGAAAAATTAAGGCCTAAGAAGGATAAGTGTCCTCCCTAACTTTATCGTGTTGTTCTCCCTAAGGTCACAAACCACAGGTAGAACATTCTCATGGACTCTATGTAGTTAATAATCCAAAGGTAAAAGAAGGGGGGGATGGTTTTCTATACTTACTTTTTTCGTCTTTGTCTCTCCTTTAACCTAGAATGATAGATATCTACCACAGCCATCTTCAGAGCTATAAATAAATAAGTACATATAAATAATATAAATAAACCCAAGATAAAAATAATTCTTTTATCCACATATTGCTAACTATTCCAAGCTTGCTAGTCTAGAAAATGTGTCTACTAGAAACAAAAAAATATCTTAGCATACTGAATTTCCCTCATCAGTAAATTATCATAATACAATGAAGTTCATGGTCTCTATCGTACTATTCTGTAGATTATAATTTCTGCCCTCTACTAAACACTACTTCTACACACTGTTATATATATTACCATAGACAGTGAGTGTCTGAACTTTGGTAATACATGGGCTAGAAATCACATCTATTAGATCAGTCATAAAATGAATATTGATTGTAGTTGTAACTGCAAAGGAGTAAGCAAAGAGTCAAGATAAGACTAATGTGAATAAAGGAGCAGGGTGGGTATTTTCCTAGGGTAGGAGTTTCCAGTTGGGGAGTAGCAACTGTCAGGGTGGAGGGTTTTGCATTCTGAGGCGAGAAGTTCCATCAAGTAGCCTCACCAGTGTAAAGGCCACACCTGCTTGGCTGCCCACGTCCTAGTTCTTTCCTGGCTTTAGTTTCATGTTAAAGACACTGGGAATAAGAAGAAAAGGGGCCATGAAGAGCAATAGTTTAAATCAATACAATAGTTTCCATCTTCAGTTCCTAAGAGTTCTTTTCTTGGCTAGAGCCTGTGGTTCAGTGGATAGGGTGCTGGGCCCATATACCGAAGGTGGTGGGTTCGAACCTGACCCTGGCCAAACTGCCAAAAAAAATAGTCAGGTGTCTGGCAGGCACCTGTAGACCCAGCTACTTGGGAGGCCAGGAGTTGGAGGTTGCTATGAACTGTGATGCCACAGCACTCTAGTGAGGGCAATAAAGTGAAACTCTGTCTCTTAAAAAAAAAATTCTTTTCTTATTTCTCTTTTCACTCCTCACCTTATTCCTATAAACTCCCCTCACCTTATTCCTACAAACTCATCTGTTTCTATGGTTTCAAATATCAAAGTGTGTATGTCTGTGTACATATGTATATATAAAGTAAAGATATATAATATATATTATATATATATTTAAAACCTCAAACACAGATCTCTATTTCAAGTTCCAGTTCTTACTGGCTCTCTCCACTCACAGGTCCTTCAGTTGCAAACTTGTATTCTACCCCTTTCCTATCTTCTAAAACTTTTTTTTTTGTTGGCCAGGGCTGGGTTTAAACCCGCCACCTCTGGTATATGGCGCCGGTGCCCTACTCCTTTGAGCCACAGGCACCACCCTCCTCTAAAACTCTTATCTTGGCTAACACTATCACCGTAAACTAGTTCCCCAAGACAGAAATCAGTCTGGACTTTTCCCTCTTCCTCTCTCCCTAATCTACTCAGTCAATGGGTCTTATCTATGCCAGACTTAATAGTCAAATCTCTTTCAAATTCATATCTTCATCCCTACTCCTACTCCTTAGCTCCAGCATCTTGCCTCTCTTGTCATCTTTTTTTTTTTTTGTAGAGACAGAGTCTCACTTTATCACCCTTGGTAGAGTGCTATGGCGTCACAGCTCACAGCAACCTCCAACTCCTGGGCTTAGGCAATTCTCTAGCCTCAGCCTCCTGAGTAGCTGAGACTACAGGTGTCCGCCACAACACTCAGCTATTTTTTTGTTGCAATTTGGCCGGGGCCGGGTTTGAACCTGCCACCCTCGGTATATGAAGCCGGCACACTGAGCCAGAGGCACTGCCCCTCTCTTGCCATTGATGCTATCTTGTAAGAGTGGCATCATTACTCTCTTACTCCTTTCTTTTCTCACCCTAATTCACCTTCTCCAGATGGTATCAGAGCAATATTTTAAAGCACAATTTTATGGTTTAATTCCCCTGCTTATAATTCTTTAGTTGCTCTCCATCCATTTTCAGGAGTTCAGACTCTTACATGTTATCTAAGACCCTTTGTCTTGATGATGCCCACCTTGTAGGCAGTCTGGTTCCAGAGCCTTGAGTAGGAAAAGCAATGAAATAGCCTAACTGAATTGTGCTGCTATAAACATTCAAAGAAAAAAAAAGAAAAAGAAATACCTAACATGTTTACTTTCTCTATTAGTCCTATATTCTAAATCCGCCTTAACTGAAAATGAAATGTATATTTTACAAATACCTCAGAAGCGAAAAACTCCCACAGGCTTTTTTTAGTTGGAAGACCTCTGGGGTTAAGAAATGATGGCCAGTTATTAACAACACTAGGAGAAAATACAAGTAATACATAACTTAGCACTATCTACATTAAACTATTTTTCTCATCTATAGATTCTAAAAGCACTTAAGATTTATGACTACAGTAGATTCTAAAACTATCTTTTATTTATTTATTTGTTTTTGACACAGAGTTTCATTTTGTTGCCCTCTGGCCTCACAGCTCACAGCAACCTCAAACTCTTGGACTCAAGTGATTATCTTGCCTCAGTCTCCCAAGTAGCTGGCACTACAGGCACCCACCAGAGTGCCCAGCTATTTTTAGAGGTGGAGTCTCGCTCTTGCTCAGGCTGGTCTTGAACCTGTGACATCACACTTAGCCTCTAAAATTATCTTAACAACCGGTCATCTTCTTAAGTTTTGTGTGAGTTGAGAGTTTCGGGTATTTTAATTACTGAGTGTATCTGCAGAAGAAAGAAGCTCTAGAGAACATAATGACCTGCTACGTGTCCTCTGAAAAACTAAAACACGTTATTCAATGTTAGGTAATTTAATTTCTAATAACAAACAAGCCTTTGTAGTAGAGAATTTGGCTGTGCCTGAGAATCACTTCTTTCAAGGTAATAAGCTTCACTCCAAAATAGAGTCTAGACTCTAGAGCCTCTGGAATGATGATTAACTCAAAAAAGGAATACAAACTCATTCCTCATCCAAAGAATATGAGATCCACGTTCAAGTTTAGCCCATGTGGGCAATGAGTCAGCACAGACTTATATGTTCTACTAAGTTTTAACCCTGTTTTCAAATAAAGTCTTACCTGGAATGGGTAAGTCAGATCTGCTCTAGCTGAACCTCTTCTAACTAACTCTATTCCCAGCTAACTCTCCTAGCAGTAGTCCCTGAGGATACCTTCATGGAACAATTTGAACCCCATACTTCCCTTTGAACTAGATGTTAGGGTAGAAAAAAACTAGAACCAATCAAATAAAAGAACAGAACACAGTTAGAATCACTGATTTCGTATATTACATGAAAGCAAATAAAAGTTGCTGAGCAAGGTGCAACCCCAAGGTACTATCAATATAACAGGCCAGGTTAGATAACAGAATTAAATTCTGGATACTCTGTACTAACTCATTACTGTGCATCTCACTGCTACCTGCCCTTAGGATATTCTTAGATTAGAAGGTTCAATACCAAAATCTTACATGCTGGGTTATGAGCAGATGTGTTATATATGTACGTAACTTCAATCACTGGGAGATGTCCAGGAGTACATTATCCAGGCCATTCTCTCTTGGGTCTGAGATAAAAATAACTAAAGTCTTAGCTGGATAAGCTGGAGAGGTAAGTGAATGTGGTAGTTTTAAAAGTTTAAATATTAAAAAAAATAAATACCACGGATTCTTTTCGTTCATTTCTTATACGTTCAAAGATTTAAACAACATTGGTTTACTTTTTCTCATTAATTGCTCTAAAACTAAAAATAATCCAATACTGTCAGGGCAGGGATTTAAGGTAATGGTTTTGAAAGTCCCTTTTGGGTAGCATAACCCATTCTACAAAAGAAATCTTTCTTGATTTATAGGATTGTTCCATACAAAAATCCAAATGCCACAGAATACCCTATACCTGGCATTGTTTTATAAGACAGTTGCTGTGGAATGAAGAGCTTTAGAATGCTATGCTGGTAGCGAGGTAGCTTATAAGCCTATGTAATGGAAGGGTGGGTAGAAAGAGGTTATATAGAAGTATCTCTCATATGGAGTATAACAAAAAACAAGTTTTATAGTAGACTCTACTTCTTATGAGAAAGGAAGAATTAGGAAGTCAATAGTTCAAGGCAGAAAGGGAAATAATGTAGTAATAGCTAAAATATGCTGACTACTTGTCATGTTTCAAGCTCTTTATATGCCTTACCTCATTTATCTACCCAATAAGATGAGTTCAAAAGGAAAGAAATGTCTTGAAGATCCAGTGGAAATTACTGCTAATTTTTCACAAAACATTTCTGTAATTACTACAAGACACTAACTTTATCATGTTGTTTCCTGAGATTTGTGTGGGATAGCTTAATCAAAAAAGAAGAAGAAACTGAAGGGATGGTATTACAAAAAAAAAAAAAAAACTATAAATAAATACTGCTGATATCTGTTTCTACTGCTTGATCATTTCAATAGTTTTAAACTTGTACAACTGGCTCTGGAGAACAAAGAGAAGAAACGAAACACACAGAAGCAAATGGGAGGAGAATTGAACTTTCCCAAAGAAAAATTCATATTTGAAGCTATCTCTTTCCTTAATAAAGCACACCCACATAGCAGCAACTGATTACAAGATCTTAAGTGCATGAATAACCCAGGGAAGACCTCAGCACAGCAGGCAGAATAGAAATGAGAAAGCAGAAGAGTGAGAATCATCGGTTTTCATTCTACTATGAGGGACTAGAAGGTCCAGTAAAAGCTGGCAAACAAAGAACCAGAGATCATCAAAAACAAACAAACAAAGACTACCCTTAAACTGTCCACTGATAGAAGGCCCCTGAAATCTCAGGTTGGGGTCCAAATAATCTCCCTGTGATTACACTGGGGACTGATAAAGTTCCAAACGGCTAGCCTTAAAATATTTCAAGAAGTAGGCAGAAGTCAGAGGCAGCTCCTTCCCACTGCAAAGTATTTCTAACATTGTTCAAAATAGCTAACAACATGTTTCTGTTTTCTTGACAGAAGGCACTTACTGCTTGCTTGGCAAGAAAACCAACTCACAGGCCTTAACTGCAGGAAGGCCAATCAAAATCCCTACTGCAACTAAACCTGTGACTCA